TTACTATATAGATTTATGACAAAAAGCGAACCGCGTCTGTTTCAGAAGAACCGAATTAACAATTTGATCACAAGAAAAAGTGATTATTAAAAAAAAATATTTCATTTAACGTGCGCCTAGTAGTAGGCAGCAGATATTTACATGCTGTATGATCACAATTGCTTATATATTTTTCTCTTTTTTTATTTTTGATTGCCTAAAGAAAACGTAGTAAATTTATGTTTCTTTCCATTTAAATGAGCACTTGAAGTTGAAATACGTTTGAATGCCGCTCCCTAAATGTCTTTTTCATATTGTCCTGTATACTCACGCATACATACATAAGCGCACTTAATATGCAGGAACTGTATGAGAATATTACATACATATATACATCCATACGTACATATATATATGCGCGCGCTAATAGCGCTTTCTTTTCCTTTTTCCACGCTACGCTATACTTACATGTTATTTAATATACATATGTATGTATGTATGTATGTATGTATGAAATTTATCTATGAGTGTATGTGTATGCTTGTAAGTTGGCAGCCAAAGTAGGATCAGGCGCAATGCTATCAAGTCCAAGTCATGGTATAATTTTGTGGACATTCGCTTTCACAAAAAAACTTGGGTATACATAACATACAGAGTATGTATGTATTTATGTATGTATGTATGCATGCATGTGTGCATTTAAGGAGCAGCTGCCAAGTATTGTCGTAGATACATACATATTTGTATGTTCGAATAAGAGTATTTGTATGCCGTTGATGCCCTTTAAAATTCTTTTTGGCTGTACATACATACATACATATGTATGTACGTGATTTCTGCTGATGCTTTTTCAATGCGTTGCGATTTACTTACAATTCACATTAGCTATTCACAGAATTAAGTTTCCTACGATAGATAGTAATCGGAATTTTCCATTAGTCAAGTCCATCAGCCAAGTTACATTCACAATTTGTGTATACGAAAAGTACAAAAAGGACCACTACTCCATTGTTCGCGGAGCAATATGAATTTCAATATTATCATATATAGAATTTCTTACGCAGGATTTCTTACTCACATTACACTTTATTATGATTTTTATTAATCACTTTCCAAAAATAATTGTTCTTAAATTACTTTTTGTAAACTTTAGTAATTATTAATTTTTCTCTAATGCAAAATTTATTTTTTAACCGGTTTTTATCACGTCCGTTTCGAGTTGTTCACCTTTTTCCTTTGCTGTTCGCTCGCTCTCCAGTTAAGTGTGTGAGTGAGTATTTTTCGATTTTTCACTATGACGGCTCGCATCAGTTTGTATTTTTTTTTTGTGGGCAGGGATATTTGAGCGTTGCTTTGTTCGTATTTCTCGTTGTTCGTGTTTTTTTTCACCTTCGTATTGCTTGCGTCTTTTGTTCATTACTATAACATTTTTGGTTTGAATGTAATCGACTCAAGAGCTGCTTAAAATGAAAATGAAACACCCAAAGGCAAAGCCACTGAGAGTGTGCAAGGCAGCGAACTTGGCATTTGAGTGATTCAAAGACATTTCAAGTAATGAGCTATGAGCTCGACATACGCGCATGTCCTGTTTGAGTGTATTTCTTTCTGGTGGTGAATTTTTTCAATTGTGATCCTTCTGCTGACTCGAAATCTTTATGCTTCTGTTTCACACTCAAACTATGGCAAAGATGCGACTACTCAAGGTAGGCAAAAAATAAAATAAATTAAAATAAAAAATCAAATAAAATATAAAAATAAAAATAAAAAATAAAAGAAAATGTACTCCAAAACGAATTAAGTTTTTGATTTTTATTCACTTTTTTATAATTTTATTAATTGCATCTTATTTAATTGGTAATAATTGGGATAACAATAAGCTGGCATTGGAACAAGAGTTCAAACACACCTTAATTATTAATTTCGGAGCATATTCGGAGCAAACAATCTAATCTCTTTATTATATATAGTATAAAGAAAAAATCCTATTGTGATCAACATCAAAAAATTATAGAAAATTAATTTAAATAAGAAATTAAGTAAAATTTTCTAATCGCGCTCTCCCCTCGGCAGGCAATGTCAACACCTTCGAGTGTATTTCTGACATGAAATAAAGGCTTCTCATAAAAAAGCCATCAGCCATTCGGAGACGGCTAAGTATAATATAAACTGTAGGTCCCTTCATTTGTTGGAAAAACATAAAGGACGCAAAACCACAACTTGGAGGATGAGCTCGGTCGAAAATCATTTCAGCGGTTACAAAGCGCCAATTATATGTATTGTATATAAACAAAAAATTAAGTAATTTCATGTGAATAATTTAGTAATATGTTATACAAAATAATCTCCAATCCTTAACGATTCAGAAAAGTATCTCTATTCTATTCGCAGCGAAGTATCGTCTAGTATCGTTTACTAGAGCGAAGGCGAACGTTGAATTCGTTGTGTTAATTGGGTTATAAGAGATTTTAATATTAGATGTGTACGGTTACCAGATGGACAGTGACAATTTTTACTGACTTTTGCTAAGATGAGACAAAAAGGCAGTAAAATAACTAACGAGAGCGCAAGTTTGAAGCATTGTTTGGAGAGAATATTGCAAATTCGTGCACGTATGAAAAACATCTTTGAGCAGAGAGCTGTGACGAGAAAGACTGCGAAGCTAAGTCGCATTCTTAAGCGCTTAAGAGGAAGAATATGCTTGAATTTTAATAAAATATAATCGAAAATCTTTAATAATGTTCAGTTAATGTTGCCAAGCCTCTTGACTTTCAAACTTCCTTCATTATATAAATCATCCTTTCCGAAATTCTGAGCGACAAACAATTGCAAAGCACGTTTTACACAAATTTTCATCCTTTCAGAGGTACGGACATATTGCTTTCTTTATCGTTTTATAGCTATATGATTTCCAAATTTATTGAAATACTTAGGGAAATACTTAGATTCTTACTTACTTTACTGGTGTCGACACCTCTTACGCGATTATAGCCGATTTAACAACATTGCACCATTCGTTTCTGCTTTTTGCCGTTTGGCGACAATTGGAAATACCACGTACAGCCAGGTCCTTCTCTATCTGGTCTATTCAACGGAGTGGAGGTCTTCCCCTTTGACTGCTTCCACTTGCGAGTACTGCATCGAAAACTTTCAAAGCTAGAGTATTCGCCGCTGCTTCTTGATTCGCTGAACTATATCAATGTCGCCGTATAACTCGTACAGCACATCGTTCGTCATCGACATAAAAGTCGCTATTGGTAAGTCGTTTGGTCAATTAGGCGAATATTAACTTAAAAATTATATTGAAAGGAATATAAATATACCATATTTATAATTACGGTCACCCATCTGCGGTGAATGTCAACCCCTACGAGGCATTAAATAAAGCTCCTCATGAAATACCGTCAGCCGGAGGCCGCTAAGTATAAACTTGTAAGTCCCTCCATTTCCCAAGAGCCTGCTATTCCGGTAGATGTCACTTTTCGTGCTGTAATTTTTAGACATTTGACAAGTAAAAACTAAGCCAGTAACCAAAGTCGAATGATACACTCTTCAAGAACGAGTTAGAAATATTATAATTCATTATAAAAATTTTATAGTTAAATCCTCTTGACTGATGAGGTTCATTTTCAACTCGATATTTAAATCAATAAGCAAAACTGTCGCATCTAGTTTTCGGAAAATCCAAAATTTATTATTGAAAAGCCTCTGCATCCTCAACGTGTAACTGTTCGGTGCGGTTTTATGGTCCGGCAGGGTCAATGGACTTTTTTTTTCGAAAATGAGCCTAGAGCAACAGAAACGCTGAATGGATTGCGTTACCGAGAGATGATTAACGATTTTGAATGGCGATACTTGCCACTTAGGCAACGAATCGAACGATCTTTCAAGGTAAAAGGTTTTTACTGAATATCAAATAATAACTCTTATTCGTAAACCCGTTATTAAGATGCGGCTTTTCGCTCATATAAAATAAAAGAACTTTTATTTTTAATTTTAAATTCTTATAAAAATTAGCTTATGCATTATTTATTTAACAATTTGAAATTTTTGTAAAATGTTTGTACATTGACCAATTTTAAAGGATGTACAATGCAAACTATATACGAACTTTATACAGAAAGTATATATATGTACGTGTATGTATGTATGGTTTGAATGTGATGTGTTAAATAAAATACATTAGTTTGAAATATTCTTATTGGTAGGTATGTATGTATGTTATTTCAGAGTGAATGCACTTATGTATGATAAGTTCAATAAATATTTATGTATATGTATATATATATATAAACAAAAATTATGTACGTGTATGTAGCGGCCCATGCGGGAACGTTCTTAAAACATTCATGTGCGAATGTACAATCTTTTAATATTTTAAACACTATTATTTCGGACAATACCCGCTTTGGAAGGCATTACAGTTTGACGAGCACTGTGGTGGCGTAAATATTTGCATGTCTGGGCTTTCTTTAAATCAGGACTTACTCACAAATACAATGCAAGTGAAACCTTAAACTTTTTTTTTTTGCTTTTACGGACTTAATATTATGTGTTTGCGAGCTTTAAGCAAAATTTGTAATTTTCGATTTATATGAAAATGAATTACATACAAAAAAATTTAATAGCCAAAAAAGAAAGTTTTTTTGCTTAAAAAAATATTGTGTTAGAAAATGGTTTGGTTGGTTAAAATGTAAGAAAATGTATTGCCTTGTCTTAAATGCAATTATAAAAATTCCGACTGCGTTATCCTACACTGCATTAGTAATAATTTTAAACTGTTTTTATGAGCTTAAAAGTAAATAATAAATAATTAACGTAATGAATGTAAATATTTTTTTTGTAATTTTTTTTTGAGGATTTTGTAGGTGTGTTGTTTTTTTAATATTTTTACAATTAGTATATATTTATATGTATATGTAAATGTTCCTTTATTATCGAAGTGTATATAAAATAAAGCTGGCAAGTCAAGCTGCAGCAATAATTTAAATTAATATTTTTATTTGTAGTTTTTATAAGTAGATCAGGTAATTTTTCTGAATAAAAAAAAATAATTATAATGTTTAACAGGCTACAAATACCATTCAAGTTTTATGAAATCAGTTAACTACATATGCCAGTAATTTACTTTCCGGGTAATACAGTGAACAAGTTTTTAAGTAAAGAACTAAAAATTCCCTCAAAATTTGCATGCTCCGATGATAGATTTTTTTTTATTAATTTTTATATGAATTTTTTTTTTATAATGTTATACATGTTTTTTTTTAATTTTTAAAACTAGTTTTTATACCTCAACTTAAGCTACTTATAAGATTTTCCTACGTCTGCTGACTCATGCGTACTTAGACACACGAGGTTAATGGAGATAATCGAATTACATATTATATGTCTGTATGTATGTTTGTATGCATTTATGAAATAAAATAAATAACTATAAATTAACAAATTAAAACAATTAAACAAATGCACTGCATACATATCAACTAAACTAAGGCTCGGGCAACTCTTTGCTTCGCATAACCAATATGTCTTCCGCCCCAATTTGTTTTTCTTACCTGTCATTTGAGCCACTTCTTCAATCACAACGGCTTACAGCGGCGTATGCAGAAGCGAATTTTAAGGAGAAGTGAAATAATTTCATACCACATTAGTTGAGAAAATAATATCCCAAATGCATACGATCGCAAAGAGCTCAAAATCCCATGCATATCGTAAAATCTTTTCAAAAAATTACTTGGCGGACACTATTTCTATCCGGTTTGTATTCGCCCCTGCGATTTCAGTACCACATTTGACACTTATCTTGCTCTCGTCTCTACTTGCGTGTTAACGCACTCAATCGTCATTCACCAGCGTTTTTTATTTCGCTCATGCTACGGCAATTCTCGCGTTCTCGCTCTCTCTCCTCGTCTAGCTTCTCCATTTTGAAAACCTTACTCTTGAGACCACATAAAATTTCAGCTGTCGCTATATTCTTTACCGTATCATTGTCAGTAATGCCTGCTGCTAAGACTGGACTATCCGAACGTGTATTACTTAGTGATTCCGTGTGATTGTTGTTGTTGTCGCTTTTCGGATGCTCCAAGTTACGTGTGATTGCATGTATGAGCGCCACATTTTTGTTTAAATTTGTCATTTCCTTGCTATTGTTGTTATTTGAATCTGTCTCCATATCGTCCTTTTTATTATAATCGGCAAGATACTGATTGCGTTCGCGTTCGCGTTCTCGTTCGCGTTCTCGTTCGTATATACGCTCCCGGTCTCGCTCACGTTCTCGTTCTCGCTCACATTCATGCTCCCTCTCTCGCGCCAATGCACGCTCCAGCTCTCGTTCTCGTTCCCGTTCACGTTCCAACTCATCCTCATCGGATGTACTCGTGCTACTGTGACCACCAATACTACAACCACTGCTACTTCCTCCACTACTTAGTCCACTACCAGCACAGATATTATTGCCCATGTTGTAACTTAAATCTGGTTGTTCCTCTTTAATGTTGATTAACGGCACAAGCGGTATCATGGCGGTGACAGAGTTTGAGGATTCCTTCGAACTCTCATCGGTTGCTCTCTTCTCTTCATCATAGGTGCTATTAATGGTGGTGGGTGTGTTGTTGATGGTTGTACTATTTTGTACGAGATTCAATGCTTCTGTGATTTCCTCTTCCGGTTGTGCGGTCTCCTTCGTAGCCGTTGGAGTCTCTTTATTATTACCAACGTCGTCGTTGCTATGCTTTAATGAGGTGGTGAGGGCAGCTGCAGCCGCTGTATCGTTCTGATGTTTCTCCATGAGTCGTATCTTATAGTTATTGCTGCCACTGATGCTGTTGCTTATGGCGCTAACTGACACTCCGGTTGTTAAACCCATGGCAACCGGTGGTGTTGCCTTATTCGTTTCCACTAGCGTGATGTCCAAGTTACCATGCAAATCCAATTCATTACTATAGCAGTCCATCTCCTTACGACGTTTCTCATTCAATTCTTCATTGTAATGCATTAGGATCTTACGTTTGGCTAGATATTTTTGTGGTTTTCTTGATGTGTCTAAAATCTTTTTGCTGTTTGCTTGTAGAATTGCGAAATTGTCCGATTTACGAGTAACGGCCGTTGAGTCTGGTAATGAATTGCCTAAATTATTGTAGTTATTAATGCTGCTGTTGTTGTTATTGTTGCGACTGAGATTCTTCATAAAGGTTTCAGCAAAGCTGGCCTTGGACTTGATGTGATCCCGGAAAGAGGCAAAGCCAGGTGAAGGTGAGAGTGGTCCGCCAGTGCCGTTCATGCTATGTTCAAATGTCGTCTGAGCGACTGACTGTGTCGGCGGTGGTGCGGTTGGTTGCTGTGGGGGCTGTCCATACGGATGACCGGTTATGTTGACGCTATGTGTAGCACGATCGAAGTGACATTGAGTGCCAGGTCCGGTTGGTGATGTCATAAAGTCGCTGTCCGTGTTTGAACCGTTTTCCTTGTCATTGATATTTTTCTAAAAGGAATGAAAGTTGGGAAATATTTATATAATTAAACTGCTCATCGGTTTTTATATACTTTTTAATAGACAATATTTATATATACTCGTATGTATATATATACATATTCTAAAGTCGTATGATAAATAAGTAAATTAAAGGACAGACCTGTATTTTGACATCTGTCAAACTTAACTGTCACCCAAATATGTTTTGGTTTGGTTGAAATTCGGGTATTCATGATAATGGATCGCTTAAAAAACCCACCACAAAAAGATGTTTGAAACGAGGCTACGCTTCGGGCTTCAAGCGATGATAATGTTGAAAATAATTGTCCAAGTAACATTCACAACGCCGTATATGCGACGAGTGGTTGCTTAAATTACAAGCAGGAGACGTCAATATTTTGAGCAAAAATTTTGTTTTAGCGACGAGGCACATTTAGCTCTCGGGGATACGTAAAAGCACAGTTGACCCAGTGGCTAAGAAAATTCTCTAATAATTGAAGAGAGGTCATTGCACCAAAACCAAACTTACTGTCTGTAGCGCTCTTTAGTCCGAAGCTGTAATTGGACCTTACTTCTTTGAGAAAGACAAAGGCGATACTGAACAATCTGTGGCTCTAACAAGATGACGCCACATGCCACACATCGCAAGCGAATACGGTTTGTCAATGTCAATTGGTCACCGAGATCGTGGGTTTTGACACCGTTGCACTCTTTTGTATGAGGCCACGCAAAAGAATATGTTTTTGTGGATAGACCTTTAAGACTTAAGCCCTAAGTTAAGGCTGAGATGTCGCCCAATATGTGCAAGAAAATAGTCAGAAATTGCCTCAAATGTATCGATGTTGGCGAAAACTGGCGAGGCGGTCATTTGGATGAAAAAAAAAATTATTTTTTATACGTTTCATTTATATTTATTTTTGAAACGGCTCACTAGAAATACAGCAACAAATGATGGAACCAACTTACCTCGGTGTGCAGGCCTTTGATCTTCATTGCTTCAGCTACTTTTAGAAAAACTGGTAGATCCTCATATTTTACATTTACCTGGAATTTGAATAGGAAATCAATTACTAAATATATTAGTTGGCAGCCACATATGTATGTATATGCTAGTGGATATCAATGCGCGCTAATATCTGTTCGAATCCTTGCCGGAGTAGCATCCATAAGTAAAGAAATGTTGCCTTTACCAATGCGTTCACCACTCTGTAGAGATGTTAATGTCTTTGAGAGTATTTCTATCTGCAGCTTAAAGCCTTGTATATTTTCTGAAGCGACTTTTAACCTCAAAAATATATATTTATTTCTCTAAATATATTTTACCGCCTTTAAAGTAAGCAAAACAATGAATCAACTCAGTAAAGGCGCTGCGGCAACCATGAGTTTTCTTTCCATAAAACCGACCTCTTTTTGAATATATGTACATAGTTTCACGCAGCCACGCATAACACTGAAATAACGTTTCTTGTTGACTTCCGAAATACCTTGGTAACTTAAGAAATACTCGATTTTATATTTCCAAATACGTTCGAGTTATTCTTCTTGGTTTTTTCACTTACCAACTGGATTTAATCTATTGTTATTACAATAAATATATGTATGTTTGTTCCTTCGTTTCACAAAAATTTAGAATAGATGTACTGATCCACATATAAAAGTAATAAATAACTAACTTGTAATCATCTAGAGACTTACCTGACCGCTGTACATGAAATCCAGAAGGCCAGCCATATGAGGCGCTTCTACATCAGCCATCAAAAGTATAGGGTGGCTCGATGGATTTTCAAGAAATATTTGCTGAAAGTATGGACTACAAACGGATAGTACCTGAGGGAATAAAAACAATGAAAATGGTTGAAAATTACTTAGAAAACTTTAACAAAGTATTAACATGAAATTTTGAAGAAATTATTAATTTTAAGAAACACAAAAAAAAAAAAATATTTTGCAGAACTCCGGCGACCGGCGCTATTTGAGTGTTAAGCTATAATCTGAATAATGAATATTGTCTAGAAATAGGGCGATTTCATTTTGATAGCGAATTTGCAAATCGCTCGAATTGATTTCAGGTGCATTGAAATTCACTCGAATTTATCTGTTCCTGCTTATTTCATATACCGAAATAATTGAAAAAGTAAAAAACATGAGATAGTTGCCTGATGCATTTTAGGAGATCACTGCAATCCTTTACATATTCCAAGCTGTGCCCCCAAAGTTAATGTACGAATATTTACAAATTCATTTCGTTTTAAAGAATAAATAAGAAAGATTTGAAAATATTATTAACGATATAAGGCCCCTAACGAAGCCAACGACTACACATGCTGAGCCGAATTTAGCAGCCACGTCGATAAAGGGGCATTTCAGAAATCCAATTGAAGGTACTCCTTTATCATGGAATCATCGGCCGTTTATATTTTGAAGCAGAAAATACAAGGAATATAACAACATAACCAGAATTAGTAAAATAACAATGCTGTCTGTAATAATCAAATCAATCAAAGGGATACATTTTTCCTCTCGGTTTGTGTTTTCAAAGTGAGCATTTTAGGAAAACAAAATCTGTGTTTCTACATTTTTCAAAATTTCGCGCTAACAAATCTCCAATTTGCAGCCGACCGACTTCAAAACGGCAAAAATATGGCGATTTTGATTTCGGGCACATGTCCTATCGTAGCCATTTGGTGTTCGAAAACGAAAACGGAACAGTGAAACTCGGTGAATGGCATCAAGTTTTCGGTGATGACTTTATGCGAAAAAGATTTGCAGCTATTGCCTGTATACTGGTAAAATTTTAAAATCATTTACCTGCCAAGAGTAGAAAAGAAACGTATATAACACGACCATTATTCGTGGTTTAAAATCACTTTCGATTTAAATTTCATATATAATTTGTATATGAAATTTAAATGAAATGCAATCGCATTTAAAAAAAATTTGAACCCATCAAAAAGCTTATTGCACTTTGTAGAGACCATATCGAAAGACACATCAAAGCATTTTACAGTTATTAATATACATTTTATGGGCTTCTGTTCAGTTGGGATATTAAAAAAAATTAACGGTTATGAAGAAATAATAAATATCAAGAACCGCTGTGCTTATTCCCAAGGAGTTTGTATGTTGTTTTCAAATTCATTGACATTCTTACCAGTTTGTGTGCTTTGAATATTTTTCCGCCGGCTGCGATTGTTACATCCACCATCTTCTCGTCCTTCTGAAGCGTGTGGAAACCGCGACACATGTTACCATGGAAATTATTCCACGACAATAGGTACTGATCGATGGTATTGGGATCGGCGTATGGTGTTGATTGCTGTTGTGAATTGTGTTCTCGCTGTTCTCGCTGTTGTTGTTGTTGTTGTTGTTGCAGTTGTAACTGTTGTTGTGTGGCTTGATGTTGTGCCGTCTGTATGTGTATTTGCTGGGCAGTGGTGGGCGGTGTGGGTGGCGGTGGTAGTTGGGCAATAGACGGCGACAATTGTTGTTGCTGCTGCTGCTGTTGTTGTTGTTGAAGTTGTTGTTGTTGCTGCTGCTGCAACTGTTGTTGGCGCTGCTGCTGGTGAAGATGATGTTGCTGCTGCTGCTGTTGTTGTTGTTGCTGCTGCTGTTGCTGATGTTGCTGGTGCAACAAATGTTGATGTTGCTGTTGCAAGGCATGCTGCAGGCCTGGCGGTGGTGTCGCTTGCTGAGCTAGGCGATGTACTGCATGCGGTGATGGGGGCGGTGGCAATTGTTGTTGTCCAGCCGCTGCGACGTGTAAATAGCGTTGCTTTTGAGCCACTTGTTGCTCGCGTTCACGTTGCTCTCTTTCACGTTCGCGCTGGGCTTGTTGCTGTGCTTGCTGTTGGGCCTGTTGTTGTTGCTGGCGTGCATGCTGCTTGATCTTGAGTATATTTTCCTGTTGCTCCTGCTCGTGTTGGCGCATGAGTTCATCCTTGATTTTGTACTGTTGCATGCTCAGATCGTCAACGCTCTTTGAAAGTTTCAGTGTATCATTGCTGTTGAATTTACTATTCTGCAACATCGGTTTGATGTCGTATTTGTAATCGGCAATACTGCCACCACCCAACGCGTATTTCTTCTCGGCGCGTTCTTTTTGTCGACGGATAAGCTCGTCGATGTCCATGTAAGCACCCGAAGTAGCCGCCTCTATGGCCGACACAATAATGGGATCGTCTTCGAAGACACTATCGTCGATGGTCTCACGCAGTGTTTTCGTAGAGGAGAATAGGCGCAATGATGGATCGTTCACTTGATCGCTAAAATAGACATCCATAAGTGTGAAGAAAGGCCATTCTCGACGCTTGGGCTCCTCAGACATTTTAATGGCCTAGACGGCGAAATGGAAGACGCGGTGAAATTGAAAATAGAGAGTTTGTATGGCCAATGGGATGTGACGTTTGTTGTGTACCGTTTTGGAAGTCCAATGTATGAACGATGTGAGCGAAATAAAAAAATGACACATTAGCATGGATGGTCGCGATGAGATTTTTGATAATTGGAGCTGATACTAACCTTATATTCCTGCAAGAGATTATTCCATTTTTTGATAATCTTGGAAAGTGGCAGCGGCACATTCAATTTGCGTTCGACAACCCTACAATCGAAATGGTAAAGTGTTAATAAATGTATGTGTTAATGTAGGGGAATATTTAGATGCTGGGGGAGTATATGGAAGAAATACAAAAAAAAAAATTGGATTTGAGGAATGAGTGAGTATTTCATTAAAGTAAGTTGTATTGTATTGCGAAATAATAATTGCCCAGTCAAATTGGACCAAATATTATTTCTCAAACCACTCAAACCAAAACCAAAAAGTCCTTTTCGATCAGACTGCCGGAAAAAATTACACGATGTTTAAGGCATTTCGTCATTTTTAGCAAAACGATAAGTTTTCGGTACCCTGGGATGTCTAAATTGACCGGACTAGTAATGGAAACAAGCACTTATGATACATACATATATACAGAACTTATTGTATGCTATGCATATATACAAATGAAAAAAAAAAATAAAATTAAGAAAACTCTTTCTTCTGCTTAGCAAATCTTAATATTAGGTTAAGTAATAAGTCATGCATTAAGCTGAGTACTTCCTTTACCATTCGTAGAGCTATACGATTAATGTCTAATATTCATCATTTTGCCTCATAACATTTTGCCATTAAGAGGATAATGTCATTATGTCTTTTTCTCTCTCTCTCTCTCTCTCTCTCTCATAGAAACCCATGTGAAAATTGGAGCAATTGATTTTCACAGGCTTCTCTTGAGGCCAATACTTCACTAGCCAAATCATTCACCATAGACACAAGCACGGTTGGACTGTAAGGTGGATGCATAAGAATTCCGCAACCGAGTTCTCCGAGCTTCTGATGAATCACTATCGATGTGTGTAGTCTGCCGCTGTCCTGATGAAACATACTTCCCCTCTTGTTAGTCAAAGCTGGACGCTTTTACTCGATTGCTTGCTTCAGATAGGTCCGAATTAAGAGTTTGGCCGGCTGTAGGAGCGCATCTGATAATGGATGATTCCTTGCCGAACCAATCAAACTGACAATAAAATCCTTCTGGTCGTCAATTTTGGCTGTTCGCTTGCTCGCATGACGGTCAGACTCGACGATTTCCATTATTTTACCGACATTTTCACATTTTTCCACAGCGTGGAGCATGTTTTACATTACAATTACCAGAGAGAAACCGAAGAAACGAAAATCGTACACGATGGACTGTTACACTACCAAGAACATATTCACCGCTATTCACATTTTCAGCGGCCTTTATCGAAGAAAAATTTTAGGATATAGCGTATTTTCTCTTTGCTGGTGTCCATCTCTTCTCTCAATCTTTTTTAGTACAAAAAACGTCTTTCTAACGCCGCCTAGCGTAATCCAATCGCATTGATAAAAAATGAGATACAGAACATTTAAGCCACCAATTGCAAAAATAATGGACGACTTGTTACTTGACCTAATATAATTGCTATATTAAGGCACATGTATTGCGGCCGAGTGGTTAGTATTACGTACTGCCATTCGGAAGACTCGGATTCAAGTCCCCGCCCGACCAATGTCCAGAAGTTATAGAAAATTTATTTAAATAAAAAATTAAGCTAAGGGAATGTCAACACTGCGAGTGTATTTCTGTCATGCAATAAAGGCTCCTCATAAAAATCCATCGACCGCTGACACGCGGCTCAGTATAAACTGTAGGTCCCTCCATCTGCTGAAAAAACATCAAGACGCAAAACCACAATTTGGAGGAGGAGCTCGGCTGAAAATCGCTTCAGCGGTTACAAAGCGACAATTAAATAAATATAAATATATATATATGCATATACTCGTATAATTCTAATGTCTTATAGCTAAATAATATAAAATTTAAAAATATATATAGTAATAATTTTTGTATTTAATATACTTTCTACTTACGCCCATGCATATTTGGAGGCATTCCGTTTGCCTGTGAATAACGGCGAGAGTTCCGCACGTAATCTGATTAATGTTTTCACTTTTTCTGCCTCCCCTGAAAGATAGGAAAGAAAGTAATTTGTACATAATTAGTTGTATGTTAATATTCTTCGTTTATTTTTATTTATTTTATCTAGTTTCTTTTGAGGTGGAAGCTTTTAAGAATATCGCCTGAAAATTGGAAGAGCTTTGGAGGAAAGCTCTAAAAGTTATTAACAAGATTGTATCTTCATGGAAGAGTAGCACGTAGGCAATGTTAAAATTTTGCACTGTTTATCTCCGTCCATGGGCAGATATTTAGATGGGTGAGGTCCAATTACAATCGCTGATAATTACTTTAGAACACGAAATCCCAGCAGGGAAGATTGGAAAGTTGATTACCGCACACCAGTTGATAGCATGAAAATATACGCAGATGGATCAAAGTTTGAGAGGAGAGTTGGCGGAGGCGTCTTCTCAGGGCACACTCCTATGGAAGGCTACCTGACCATTGCAATATTTTCCAGGCCGAGATATCTGTTGTCATGGAGGCAGTAAAGCAAATCGGAGTCAGCTTTAAGGATCGGGACATTTTCATTTTCTGCGACAGTCATACAGCAATGAAATCTCCTGGCTCGCTTAAACTAAACTCCAATATAGTGCTGGACTATCGCCGATCTCTGCAGGGTATGTCCGAACAAAATAGATTGCCTCTCACGTGATTCCCTGGTCAGAGGGACATTGAGAGAAACGGTGAGGCAAATGAACTTGCTCGATAAAGAACGCTTTTTGGCACTTGCAAACTGTTCTTTAAGGAAATTTCCTATGAACAAGCCGTGCCAAGATGGAATGAAACGATATTCTGTGACAAATCCAGGCACATCTGGCCGAAATGGGATGAAAAGAATATCACTAGATATGTGCCCCCTTGAAACAAGGGGCGCACATGACCAAAGTAATAATAGTTCTGACAGACCACTGTCTGATAGGACGACACGCGGAGAGACTATAGACTCCGCTATAAAAGATGCTGCACAAGTTGCAAGAATGATGAGGAGAAAGAAGCCATCAAACATCTCTTATGCGACTGCCTCTTTTGGGCAGTGTAAGGCTTTGGATTTTACTGTATAACGAAGCCTGATGGTCAAGATTTTATGGCATCACAATTTAAACTAAAAAATTAGTTATTCAGTAATATTTTGGTAGTAGTCTCCAGGCATAGCCAAATTTGCAGTTCTAAGGATATAGAGGATATGAATGTTGTTGCTTTGTAACCGCTGAAACGATTTTCTGTCAAGCTCCTCGTCCAATTTGTGGTATGCGCCCAAGTTTTTCCAAATGGATGGACCTAGAATTTACTTATTTACGCTGAAGCCGATGGATCTTTATGAAGAGTTTTGATTTTCATGTTAGAAATACATTCGGAGAGCTTGAAATACCCTGCCGAGGAGCGTACGCAACAAGAAAACCTAATTTTGTATAATTTTGGTAAGCAAGGATCATGACCTTCAGAAAAATAGTACGCAAACCAACAATAATCTCAGACTTGAAATCCAACGTAGAAGAGCAAGAGTGGGCAATTGAAAAATAAAGGAGTCTCTTAATGAACCAAAACCAAACTCTACAAGTTACTCATCATTCTCGTCCTACTACATGATGCAGAAGCTTGGACGATGTCGACATCCGATAATTCGGCCCTAGGAGACGTCGTTAGAAAAGTTTTTCGAACAATTTACAGCTACACATTGGCTATGACAAACACCACCGATACATTTACATTGATATACAATAGTTCAGCGAATGAAGAAGAGATCGTGCCTACGCAGGCTAGGTCCTCCCGGTGGAAAAGGTGTAAGAGGAAGACCTGCACTCCGTGGGAAGGATCGAGAGACGGCGACCTGGTTTCACTTGAAATTTACAAACTGAGCCAAACTGAGAAGAGAAAGAACGAATGGCGTGATATTGCTGAATCGGTTATAATAGCGTAAGCGATGCACACGTCAATGAAGAAGAAGAAGAAGAAAAGTTTTAACGATACAAACGAATGAAGCCAAAATACCCAAGTTGAGCTTATGTTACACAATAAATGTTATTTTTTGTTTATTTAAATAAAATCTGTGAGCTATTTAGCCGTATTAAAGCTGTGCAATCATTATTTCGTTGACTTTTAAAAATTCGTATGTATGTAAATACATAAGTGTATATATAGCTATTGACTTGAACTTAAAAGTCGATTTGGCTTGTTGATTGGACTGGTCAGTTGGTTGTTTTTTTGTAATTACCGAAAACTATTCAACGATGAAGAATTCATTAGCAGATTTCACTTTCGCTCATGACGTTGGAAATTTTTCTGTTACACACACACACACACACACACAAACACACACCACATGAAACCACAAATATCACACATACAAATGTAGGTATTTATATGTACATTCAGCAATTGTTGTGTGTTTGGTTTTGCTATGTGTTTTTATAATACAAGTGCATAGATGTATATCAACTGAGTATGTATGTGTGAGTGAGCTTCCTATTTGCTTGATACTTTCTTACCTGTTTGCACTACCTTTCTCTGCGGTATATACATGAGTACATATATAAAATGTATTAACATTTGTACGGGTTTTCCCAGACTCATATTAAATAAGCTCAGAGCAATGTATATGTATGCGTGCGTGTGAGTATACATATGTATGTGTCTCTTTATATATGACTTTAAATTGTTTTCAGCTTGCTTGTGGATGGAATTTTTGATTTATTTGTAGAAATTACAGCAAAATTTAACTTTGTTTATGAAAATATGTATGTATGTAGAATATGTATATTATTATGTTGTGGCAGTATATACATAAATTAGTATTTTGGTTTGTTGTTTATTATAATCCAAACGCATTTGTGTTTGTGTGTGTGTATATAAATATATATAGTATATATATACATAGTAATTTGCGTTCACATACATACTCATATACGTGTAATAAAATTTCAGTAGAAGCTCTTTATGTACCGAAAAGATGCTTAAACGGACCGACCAATTAGTTTCGCAATACCGGATCTATGCAAAACTACAAAGCCAGATAATTTTTACTTGTACGAAAAAAAAAAACAATAAAGTGAAATGATAAGCTGAAAACTAGACAAGCAAATACTGAGAACAAAGAAATAAATTAAATAAAAAGTGGTAAGCATTGCGAACTGCCATTCCGAAGATCAGGGTTCGAGTCCTGGCTCGACCAAAAGCATAAAAAAATTTTTTTTTCTTATTGCTGTCGCCCCTTGGCAAGGAATATCAAGCCCTCGGAGTGTGTATTTCTGACATGAAATAAAAAGCTCCTTATGGAAATCCATCGGCCATTCGGAGGCGGTTTAGAACAAAATGTAGATTCTTACATTTGCTGGAAAAACTTCAAGTCGCATATTGCGCTTCAGCGCTTACAAGCTTAAAATTATATACATATATATTCATATAATTATATGTATATTCAGGGTTTTCAAATAGGAGATGTTATTTTGATATTTAAATGAATCAGCTAAATGGACCGTAACTTTTTATGACTACATTTTTTCACCAATTTCCATTGGTATGCCCTCGATAGCTTCACGAATTCTATCTTTGAAGACTTGAATCGACGTTGGCTTGTTGCGACACACTTTATCTTTCACCTGGCGCCAAAAGAAGAAGTCGCAAGAGGTTAAATCACAAGATCTCGGTGGCTAAATGCAATCACCTCTTCGAGAGATATTACGGTGCGGAAACTTTTACCTTTAAGAACCGAAGTTAATGTTGTTCAGATCCCATTCCATACCATTCCATTCCGGACTCATTAATAATCTCCTGATAGCGTAATCGAAGTAAATTTTTGCTTCAGCCTTATTTACGACGCCGGACTATAAATCGCAATAAAAAGTTAAACTTTGAGGATAGAGCGGCTTTTCAACAAAAAATCTTGGGTTTTCTGCGCACCGGTTGTCACAGTTTTACTTTTTGACGTAGTCATCCAGGGGAAAATGTGCCTCATTAGTCAAGACGATTTTTCGATAAAATTGCGTATTTCAAGGATGAAAAGGATTCAATCTGCAAGCACACGATGTAGTCGGTGATTGGCTGACTTGAATTCTTATGTCAACTGAATTTTATGAGCCTTAAGACCTAAGTCTTTATGCCCAATTCAAAAGCACCACAAAGGAATGGACAAACCTGCACTTTTCTTGAACACTTTGGGCTACAGCAGCAAGATTCACAATCGTTCTTGAGCAACGTAGAGGTGTTTTATTCTTCACATCATTAACTTGTCCCAACAACTACATTTTTCCACCAATTTCTGTATTACGGTATGACAAGGTAGTTCACCACCTTTTTGGCGAATTTTAACAATTTAAATGCGTTGTTGAAACTTGTTTCATTCCTTTTTTTAATTGTGGCGTAGTTTTTAATTATAAAAAGTCGAAAAATTACAGTTTGAAAACTGACATCAACCGGAATAGCAGCCAGTTACAATATATAGATAATTGGCGTTAAAGCTTGTTATATATCTAATTAGTCGAATAAATACTACTAAACATATAGTTTCTATGTAATGGCATATTCATATTGTGTAAACTAATTTAAGATCCAAAAGTAAACATTTTTCTCAGTGTAAAACACATCGCTTTACATTGGAGGAGAAAAACCCGAAGTCAATAAGTAGTAGAATGCCAAAACGAATAATAATAAAAGACATCACTTTCGACCAGTTAATAAGTGAGCTTGTGCCTGCACCCGTACCCATAGCTCGGTTAGGCTGCAAGTCAGTCAGTTAACACAATCGCCGGCATTCATGCGTGCAGCAGCAAGCCAGCAGGTAAAAGCACAGTTAGTTTCTCTTTTGACCTACATTTCTTTTTGCTACATTCTACAACGTCACTGTCGCCAACGTCGCTTGTTATTGTTGGTGCGCTGTTAAGATTGCTATCTCCGCTATATGTTGCATGTCTATGTTGTTGCTGTCGCTTTTACTTTAAACACTTTTTTGTTCTTAATGCGCTCTGTGCTCACTGAAAAGCGTTCTCTGCTCTCACTGCTGTGTAAATGTA